TATATATATATAATACTTAGACCAATATTTCTTGTACAGTAGACCCTCTATAACACTGTAGATAATTCCGTGTTATATGAATCACTTAGATTTTACAAATACGTGAGCCGTTCACTGTAGTGTATAATATATATAAAAGTTTTCATTAATAAACCAACAAACGCCTAATTAATCGGACTATAATATGGCTACAATTAAATACAAATCAATTTAGTATACAGGTAATCGTTAAGCGCCATCTCTTAGTAATTATAATTTTTAATAAATAATTTAAAACAGTCTGGAAGAAAATAACCGACCCGGGGCGAAGCTTGAACCAGCAGCCTTCACTTGTTGTGTGGCGCGCTACCAATTGCGCAACCCCGACCCCAAAACATTGATCCCTATTAGACGTACTAATCTTTCGATATAACTTTACATTGTTTTACTAACGGCGCGGGCTGCAGACGACTCCTACATCCACGGCCAATAAGTATCTCCACTACGGCACTCAGCCATCTATCGCTGTCCCCGACTAGGGTATATGTATATAAATATAAAACATCTTAAAGCCTGACGATGTATTAATAAACCAACAAACGCCTAGCTAACCTCTATACCGAATTCATTTCTATTTATTATTTAATTATAGTTATATTATAGCCCGATTAGTTAGGCGTTTGTTAGTTCATTAACATATCGTTGGGCTTTGAGATGTATTATGGTTTTCATTAATTTATTTAAAATATTAAATTTACACACAGACGACGGCTCTTATATAAGCAATTTATGTATTTTAATATTTTATATCGTCAGACTAATGNTTTGTTTTTGAAAAAAAGCGCTTGATAAACTTGCCCCGCATGCCGAAGTTGCCCCGGTCTCCCCTAAATAAAATTTGAAATTAACAAAATATGTAAAAGTTCACGTCACACCTTTCACCATGTGACGGCACATCAGTGTGCCGCGGCACACCGGTTGCGGAACACTGTTGTAAGCGACAAGGAACCACATGATGTCACTCGGCATGGAATAGCCACAAGCAATGCGACCACGCGTTAGGTGGGCCTTTATCTGATAAGTTATCAGTGATAACTTATCAGTTTAAGGCTTACTTTTTCTTCAGTTTTTTATGTAAACTTGTAATTATGCTTTGTGTCAATGTGAGACATTCACGAGGACAAAAATTAATTTTTACTTAATTACGGGGCGTCGATGTCCATTTATTTAGAACATATGAAATAAGTGTTGATGAAAAGAAGACCTAAAAATTTTATTATCCGTTACTGAAAATAACATGTAATTGTTCATTCTTTGTAAAATTAGAATTTTGTAAGTTGTTTTCAAGTCGAAAAAAAATTTCCAGCTTCCCCCTCTTAACGAACTTGTTTAATCACTTTTTACAATGGATGTTGATTGATTAATATTATGTTAGCGTAATTTTTTTTTTACTTTCAAGCTTTAGGCTTGTATAACAAAATAATGGAAAATTCCAAGAAAACGCAGTCTGTGACTTCCATTATCAGTTATAACAGTACAGTATACAATGACCTATACTCATAGATTCAGAATACGATAGGTTACAGAAAAGTCAATTATTGTTCGTGGAGAATTACAAAACAATTCCATACAAATCCTGGATTATTTATATTTTCTATAATGAAAACAGTACAGACATCTTTGTTAGTTTGTTTGTTTTTCTTAATTGTTTTTCTAATTCTAGTCTGGGAGTTATGAAAGAAGTATCGAAGATATATTTATTTAACAAAAGGACCGTCGATACTTCGTCAAAAACTATACACATATACAAAAATCTTTACATTAACAAAAGGTCACTTTGATATTAGTCTTAATACCTATTGATAATCAAATAATATCTATGATCTATCATACAAATTGTCTCTTTTAAAATATGCAGGGATATCTTTATTCTATTAACAGGATTGTATTTCGGGCTACGCCCCTCAGTCTACTGAAGGGCATAGTTCGAAATATTTCCCTGTTCATAGAATAGAAATGTCCTTTTTTTAAAGAAATGCAGCGTTTCCTGGTACGATATTTCCTAGGAAATAATATATCATTATCGCAGAACCAACAAAACCCAAGATAAGCAAATATAAAAACTGTAATATCTATTTTTAAAATATCAGTCATGCATTTATTTATACATCATTGTCGGAAATACTACAACTAACGTACAAAACAGAGATGTTTGAAAGTAATAAATAGATACCTTTATTATTTTATGATTTCTTCGAGTGAGATAATGCAAAACGAAGAAAACAGGGAGATTATTATATCAGAAGCTCAGTTAAATAAAGTCCTGAACAGGCTATTGAAACTTTTCATTAGAAATCTTGAAAATTCGAAAGTAATGTTTATGCCTTATCCATTGGAAACACCATCAGACAATTCGTTACGTAAGTTTTCCACGATACTTACCTTTCATTTAATTTCAATACATGGTCATAAATTTTAATTTCACATTACATTTCTTAAACAGTTATGTAAAGACGGACGATAAGTTGCGGTAAAGAACATTCGAAAGATTCGTCCGATGTCGGACTTTATCGTTTTTATCGTCCAACA